TTTTTTTGAGGTGAAGGGACTGAAGCAATGAGCATGGTTGAGCATTTATACTTCACTAAGTCTAGATTGAGAGTCATTTTCAGACATTCTTGCTTCAGCAGTAGTTTAAGTGGGGTTAATCTCCAGATACATGGGAATTACTCGGGGAAGAGAAGGGAAAGAACTGCACCAGTACATCTGCTGATTAATCAAAAGGATTTCATGCTTTCTTCCCCATGAGTTTCCTTCTGGAAAGTGAAGTGAGGTTAAAGGATAGCATAGATGTCTTTTATTGTCTCCAAATGATGGCATATGAACCATGACATCAACATACAACTGATGCGAATATGGAATTGGTGTGAATCGTATTGGGATATCCAATGCAAAATAGAATATCACAATGACAACTCGTGTTATCATTTTTCTTCTCTTGTGTCCACTATGGGTACCAATGAGTGAATTCTTCTTCAGTTTTCCAATGTCATGGCAACTTAAATCTCTATGTTGCATTTAAAAATTGATAAAAACGTGAGAAACAAGACATCAGAAGCAGCAAGGATAGAACTGAAAATTGGGAGCGGTAAGACAGTGAAAATATCTAAATGTAAGCAGGAAACATAAATGGAGACAAAAAAGAAAAAGAAAGAAAGAAAGAAAGAAAGAAAGAAAGAAAGAAAGAAAGAAAGAAAGAAAGAAAAGAGAAAAGAAGAAAGAAGTTATGGAAAAGGGTCTGATATCTATTTGTACCACAGCTATTACTGTAATTAGTAATCACTTCTGTATTTTAAAAAAGCTTTATATTCAAGGAAAGCATCTGAAAAAGAATTATTGGTTTACTTATTCTGTTTTTTTTTTTTATTAAAAGTTTTATAAATTTTACAAAAAAGAAAAAAGAATACAAAACAAGAGACAACATATACAAAAAAAATAAAACTAAACAATACATATATATATAAAAAAAAAACCCCACCCCTCCCAAACCCCCCCCCTCCCTTCCCCCCCCCTGAGCTTCCCAGAGCAGAATATAGGCTTAAGAAGTAAAAATAAAAATTAAATTAAGAACTTTATATTTATATATATAAAAAGATTATCTATAATATATATGAAAATAAAACTTATGAAAAAACTATATAATATTTTTGTATACCCAATCTAAATTGTATAAATTTTATCCATTTATCCCAAACAGCAAGAAACTTCTCTTGCGTTTGTTGCTTTAAGAAAGCCGAAATCTTTGCCATTTCCGCCAGATAAGCTACTTTAAGAAACCATTCCTGCAATGTAGGCAAAGATTCCTTCTTCCAATATTGTCCTACTAACAGCCTAGCGGCTGTAATCAAATTTAACATCAAAACAACCTCCTTTGTATCACAATCTGTAACAATACCTAACAAAAATAATTGCGGAGTAAATTTTACCCTCCTTCTAAAAATTCTCTGGATATTCCACCATATTTTGATCCAAAATGCTTTTATCTCTCTGCATGACCACCAAATATGATAATAGGAAGCCTCCTTATAACCACATCTCCAACATTTGGGTTGCACGTCAGGGTACATATAAGACATTTTTTGTGGATCAAGGTGCCATCTATAAAACATTTTATAAAAATTCTCCCTTAAGTTCTGTGCTTGTGTAAATTTGACATTTCTCACCCAAATATTTTCCCAGGTGTCCAATGAAGACTGGCTCACCAAAATTCTGCGCCCATCTTATCATACAATCTTTAATTAGTTCCGTTTCTGAATCCAATTCAACTAAAACCGCATAAATTCTCTTAATGTGGGTTTGTCTTGAATCCTTCACTTGCTTGATAAGATTTTCATCTTCTCTAAGAAAACCCACCTTACAATCCATCTTCCATCTGTCTAATAATTGCCTATATTGGAACCAAAAATAAATAAGGTTTTCTTGTGCTAACTCTTCCCGTGATTTTAATTGCCAGTTTTGTCCATCCCATTTAAGTAACTGTCTATAAGACACCATATCCATTTTAACCCCTCTTTTTATTGCTTCTATCGCATGCCAAGGTATAGCCCATAATGGTACTTTGAAATCACTTTTATAATATTTTCTCCAAATCCTAAGTAAAGAAATTCTTAAGATATGAGATTTAAAAGCCCAATCCATTTTTTTATTGAATATTAAATAGGCATGCCACCCATAAAGTAAATCCCATCCCTCTAGATAAAGTATCTCAGAATTTGTCAAATTTACCCAATCACTGATTAGTGTTAAAACCACCGCATCATATCCAAGGCCAGCGCCAGATCAGTAAGGACCACCTCCACCAAATCTTGATTCACATCTTTCTTGAGGCCTCTGATCCTCAGGGCATACTCCATTTGTCTGTACTGAAACATCAAAATATCTTCTTGTGAGGAGTCCACCTTCCTTTCCACATCTTGAATTTTGTCATCCCAAGAGTCAACTTTGTCTTCCACTTCCTCAAGCCTTGCATCGAGCTTAACCACCACAGTAGCCAAACCTGAAACAGCTGCCAGTATATCTTGTCGTAATTCATTATTGTTTTCTTGCAATTTAGTCTTTATCCCCGTTATCTCTTCTTTGAGATCAGATTTAATTTCTGATTTAATCTGTGAGACAAATTGATTCATTTCCTCTCTCATTTGAACTACAATCTCTCCCATTATGCCTCTAACCTCTTGTGCTGAAAGTCCAGATAGAGGAGGGGAGGGTGGTGGCTGAGCCGGTGGTACATGTTTAGATTGTTGTTGTAGCTGTGCAGTGGAAGTTATAGGAGAAGAAATAACCTTGGGTATTGAGGAAGGCTGCTGCCTCTTTGAAGCCATTTTAAAAAGCACAATTGTCACTTCCCTTTCCCCTCCAGCCAGGAAGGGAGGAGGGGAAAAAAAAGAAAAATTTTTTTAAAAAGAGACAAACTATAGTCCTTGAAAGTCCAGAGTAAATCCAAAGAATAAAAAATAAAAGAGCAAACAATTCAAAAGAAAAAATTCTAAGCCAAAAGCAAAAGTAAAAGCAAAAACCAGTCCTTAAAAAGGGAAAGTAAAACAAAAGAGAAAGGAAAAAAAAACTCCGACACTTTCAAAGCGCCATCTTAAATCCTTTCACTAATATAACAAAAAAAAGGAGGAATAATAGTAGAAATCAAAAAATAAAAAAAATAAACACCTAAATTATAACAAAAAATCCTTTAAACTGCTCCGTCCGTTTAAAAATTACTCACCAGAATGCTATAAACACGGAGATAGAAGCGGCGGTTTCTTTTGCTTCCTAGGAAGCAAAAACAGCTGGGAGGCGGAGATCAGCAGGAGCTCCGAGGGAACACTCCTTTCACCCCCTCTAGAAACAAATCCAGAGGGGGTTCAGGGGTTCTACCTCTATCCCTGCACTCTCTGTCCCTTCCCTTTGCCCGGGAAGGGATTTCCGAGCCGCGGGCCAGCTGATGCACGCTGCGCTCCGCGGCTCTGACACTTCCCCAGCTGGACGGCTAAAAGCTAGCCGCCATCGCCGTCGCCTCACACCGGAAGCTCAATTTACTTATTCTGTTTTAAAGCTGCCCTTTGTCCAAGCAGTTCAAGCCATTCTAAATACTTTGCCTGTGCAGCCTTGTAAATATAGGATACTGTAATTGATTTACAGTAAGCATCATGACTTGGTGGAATGTTCTTTTGTTTTCTCCTGCGTAGAATCAGCAAAATACTGTTGCCTTTGATTATATTGGTCAGGAATGGAGTTGAAATCCAATTCATTTAGAGAACACCTTTATGGGATTCTTCTTCTTCTTCTTATTATTATTATTTTGCACTGCATTCACTTAATACAACAACATACAAAAAGCTGATTGGTCCAGTGAGGGTGTATCTTGAATTTTCTAGAAAAGAAAATATTCTGTTTGATAGCAAACACGATTCTTTAAACAAATGTCTCTCCACATTCCTTACAGCAATCAAACATAAATAGATAAAATAAGATATTCAGCAAAGACTATTCCAAATAGGAATTCAGATGTTTAGGTAATGTACCATTTTGTTTCCTCTTTAAAATCAGAATACAATTAAATGTATGTACACAAATACTCACATACCTGAAGCAGATATAGGGCTGAAATCACTTTTGGCACAATGAGTAAAAATACATAAATAAATAAAACATATTTTAAAAGCATGCTACATGTTACACTGCAGCCACGGCCAAAAACTGCCCCTTTTCTGTTTTGCAGAGGCTTTTTAGCAATGAAAAATGGACACGATGAGAATGCAATCTCTTTTTTTCCCTGCACACTTCCAGAACCACTTCTGAATGGTAAATGTAGCTGTCTAAATCAAGCCCATGACTTCATACGGAAGAACTACTGGCAAATGAATGGCTGAATTCCCATCACCTCCCCAAGCCCTACAAACCGCAAATCATCTTCTCCCAAACTGGCTTCTTAGTTCAAAGAGGTTGCTGGGTTAACAATATGCAGTAGTTTGGCCCAAGCTACCCTATTCCATGAATCAATTACTCTGGGATCTTCCAACTTTGCAAGTCTTTGCATGCTTTCATGGCATGTACATTTTGTCTCATTATTTTTCAAGGCACTGATGACTGCGTGAGCATGCCCCATTGTCCGCTATAGTTGGCGTGATTCCAAACACAATGAGGGTTGCGTATATCTAACAGACAGAGAGCAGGCAAAAATTATTCAGCAGGTGCAGCTTTTTCCTATTACGCCCCATGATCAGTCTCATCTGTAGAGCTGTCCTCTGATATGTAAGGAAAAATAGCTACGTTCTTTGTGACATCTGGCAAACCTATTTAACAGCTCCCAAAACAGAAGGATCCAATTTTTTTCTTGAGAGAAGATGGAATATTCAGAAATTAACTGTGTTTGATTTCCCAGGATGAGGCCAGGAAAGTTCAAGAAAATGTTTTTAGGATAGCTTTGGTTGTTACTAAAAATTTAAGGACCTAACACTCCTTTTATTTTTTTTACATATTATGGTTTGTAGAACAGTCATATTCCCACTGAGGTAAAAGTCAAGTCAACATCTTACATTTATTTGCCAAGAGCTGAGATTTATATTGGCCTCGAACAAGCCGGCAGGTGGAACCATCTCCATCACAGACCCCACAGTTATCTTCCTTCACAGGGCTTCCCAGCTGATGATCACAGCCAACAATCTGACAAAAGAGAAAGATGTGCAGTTCAAATTGAGCACCTCCTGACAGTTGGACTCATTTCTGAGCTTAGTTCCCGCCAATTTTCTTCATCACATTGTCTCCAAAGGGCCATAAAGCATGTTAGCAAGAAAAGGGAGAACAAAATGAATTTGCTTGGTAAAGTTCCATCTGAAATCAGGAGCATTGCTTACAAGGCAAAAATGGTGTACAGTATTTAAAAGTTGCTGAAATGATTTTTTTTTTGCTTCAGAGTCCTGTCAATATTTTCATAGTTAACATGTTTATTATGAAATAGTAACATGATTAAATCTCAATGAAAGTTCATCTTCAGACTTACTATCTTACAGCATTTTTGTCATCATTTTCCTGAGGAAAATGAAGGTATTAGATCTAACTGTGCATTTAAACCAATGAGTAAAAGAGACATGCTGATGATTTATTATATCGAATATGAGCAAAATAAAAAAAACATTGCAGATACAATTTTAAGTAACAGCTGTAATGATTTGTATTGTGCTATAACACTACTGCTTAGATAATTGGGCCATGGATAACCATGTTCAAGTTAAAGCTGTCTATATAACTTTTATATTTGCTGCTGTCTTACATTATATTCCATCATATCTCACTCTGAGTATTGCAAACTCTTTTCAGAGAGTAATCAGACAGAGGAACGAGATTATATATAAAACCAAAAGAAAGTCAAGAAATCTGAATTCTATTTCTAGTTTTTTCCAATAGGAATTAAGGGTAAAACCTCTTCGTCAATATTTTTATGATCTTGAGTACTCCACTCAAAAACAAAATAGTGTCTGATCCAAAAAGCAGATGAGTGAAAGAAGAAGGATCCAAATGAGTATGCCATTTCAGTCTCTGATTAACTATTCAGGCTTAAAGCATTTTTACACAGGCTTTACAAAGCTTAAATCAACGACCTGCATTTCAGAAGACTAGATTAACACTGAAATATTCTTTTAATAAGCCATTAAAGTTAAATTTGACCTAGCTTAAACTGAATCTGTTCAAATTTTCCTTAGCTATCTGACTCGAGTTTCCAAAAATGGGATGTTAAAATACATTTATAAACAAAACGTAAGGATACAGATATGTATCCTATAGCATCCAGTAGTACATTTCTTTTAGATTTAAGAATCTGAGCTGTATGAATTCCTGTGCTTTCTAACATTTAGGAATCTAGAAATGCTTAAAGGTACTTTCTTACATCAAATATTGGAAAGTATATATTTTTTTTAAATCAAAGCTTTAAATTTAGTACAGTACATGAGATCTAAGGCTGTCAGACTGCAATGCAGAGATTGGGCCTGTTGCTTTAAGAAATCCACAGCTGCAAAAAAGAATGCAGCTGTGACTTCTCCCACTCCGTCTGGCTCTCCCCTTTGTTCCCTATGCTATTTAGTTCAGCATGTGTGAGAGAAGCAGTAGATAAACTACACCATAATGGCATCTGTGATATTTGGCAGTTCTAGACAGTTTTCTTTCAACTTGGAGTCTCATACTTCCCTAGTGCTAATCATCTGTATTAGGAATGAGAAGTCACACGTATTTATACTCTGATGTCAGAAGCAAGGAGCAAATGCTTATGTGGATCATGGCATGGTTCAAACTTAAGTCCTTTGATGTGCAGCTAGTTGCAGCTGTAAAACAGGCTGATTTAGAAGCAGCCTGTTATTCCAATAATATGCAACTCACCTGACCCTTATGCTTCCTCTCTATTTCTCCTTCAAGGTTTGACGTTTCTGTTTCCAGTTTTAAATGATTTCCCCCCCCCCTCTCCTATCTGAATGGGATTTGTAGTGAGTATTAACAAGCAGGAGCTAGCTATGGGTTTACAGTTTAAGTTTTACTTACCCTTACAAAAGACAAAGACACAGAACAGCAGCATCCTAGTGAGGTGGGGGAATGCAAAAAAAACCCCCTGTGTTGTGGGCTCACAAAGCAAGTCCTTTTCGTTATGGACATTGTGATGTTGCATGAAGGTACAAAAAGGGAAGATAGTGATGTGATGCTGCTTTCGTTATTCTGGTGGAAGTAGCAAATTCCCACGGACACGCATGAGAAAAGAATAAACGAGTCAGACGTGTGTTAGTAACAGTAGCAAAGTTGGAAGGGATCTTGGCGGTCATCTAATCCAACCCCCTGCTCATGCAGCATATACTATTTCTGATAAACAGCTGTCCAATCTCTTCTTGAAAGCTTCCAGTGATGGGGCACCCACCAACTGTTCATTATAAGTATACAGGGAAACATTTTTTTTTCTTTTACACCTAGCTAGGAAAACACATCAGTGTACAAACATTATAAAAATAGGGCCAGAAAATAAAACAGAGGAAGCCTATTCCTCTTCTGACTTGCAAGCTATTTGGAAACCTCCCCCCCCTCCCCGAAAATAAGGGTTTCTCAGAAAGATGATGACACTCTTAAGCAATTAAGCAAAAACACACTGAAGATTTAAAGCTGATGATTCAGATTTGTCAGCATTGGTAATCATATCTGCCGAACTCATGGCTGTTTGAAAAATACACAACTCAACATAGAGGACTAATAAAATGAGGGCATGTTTTTCACTAAATGCATGGATTTTAAGTATCTGTGGTCCTTAATAGCAGTAAATCTGAACTTCTGTGGCTTCTGTGAGTTTATAATAAAATGCAGCAGAGCAAATTCATTGTGCTCTTTTAAGAGTTATGGAAATATATATTTTTAATCTGTGCATTTTAAAAAGCCACATAAAGGTGTACAAACACAGTGTGTGGGGGGGGAAATCACTGACCTAGGTTTGTCACAGAATTAGCATCCCTATTGCCATCCGATGAATATTGCAGAGATAATTTTGCACTTCACTCCCATAAGAGGGATATGATTCCTTGAACACATTTGTTGAACTTCTGCCACCAAATTTTTAGCAAAAGAGAGCTACAGAATTTAGTTTCAAGCAGTTGATAGAAATTTGAAGAATCAATAAGAAGATGGCATAAAATGAGCCAAATCACTTACAATAGTGCATCCCTTCTCTGAAACAATGTCATCTGGTGCAGCCATCCCCAACCTTTCCGACTCTATGGACTGGTGGCAGCGGCGGGAGGGAGGAGGGGACGGTTCAACACAAGCAACCTAGCTCCCATGCATGCGCAAATGAAACTTTGTGTGCTCCCCCGCCCCCTGCGGAGCCCAGTTCCCAATGGGCTGCGGACCAGTGATCGGTCCACAGCCCAGAGGCTTGGGACCCCTGATCTAGTGGGACCCAAGAGATATGCCTTCTCAGAGCATCTGCCCTAAGCATCTCCCTTATATCCAGATGGCTCCAACCCTACTGACCGTTTGTAAGGCCATGACAACAAGATTAGGGTTGGGACACTGGTGGAACCTGATAAATTGTGGTGAGTTCTTGTGAGGTGCCTTGATTGCAGTATTTACTATGATAGTTTTTTAATTGCATTTTATTTTCTTTTATACTAGTTTTATAAACTTGGGAAGAGGGGTTGTACCATATATCAGTCACCCAGAATTATTTGTTGAAGCAGTGCACCGTGTAAATGGCCTGCATCAATACATAAATAAAATCCAGCATTGCATCTGTCTGCCTGTTATTCTGAATAGGTATCACAGTTCCATCTCTTCTCTCACCAAGAAATCTGTCATTGAAAAATTACCATCACCCCATCCCGCCATACTCAGAACATAAACATTGCCTTGGAGAGAAGCCATTTCCATACAGCCCTATTAGCAGGTGTATGATTATTCCACATTAGAGATGGAGGGTGGGCGCCAAACTTGCAAGAAAAAGCAGGTGCCTCAGGAGACAGGCATCAGCCTTTGAACCAAAAAAATAATAATCCATTTTTGTAAACATTCCTTCCTCCTGGATCAGGCAGACTCTATTTCTCTATTACTAGTCAAAATCAGGGATAGACAACATTAGTTCTTCTGTCAAAGTGGATAAAGTTATGCCACTCTTAATACTACAAAACTGAACGATTAGCATGTGTCATGACAATGATGTTGGTGTCAAATCATCTAGATCAAGGGTGAGGATTTATGGCCCTTTCACAACCTGTAGACTTCAGCATGGCTGGGTCAGGAATTCTGGGAGTTGAGGTCCACAAGTCATAAAGGGGCCTTAGTTCCCATCCTCTGATCTAGATGGAAAACAAGAAGTCACTATGGACAAATAGTTATGAAGCAGAAGTAGTAAAAGTAGTTAGGACCCTACATAACTCTCCAACAGTGAGAAACAGAATTGAGTTCACTATTTTGCACAGTGGATGTTTTGCATATTTAGAGATGTCCTTTTTATTACTGCACCATCCCCAAGAGGTTCACACTTCTTTTAAGTACAGGGGTGGTCCTCGAATTACGACCATAATTGAGCCCCAAATTTCTGTTGCTAAGCGAGACAGTTGTTAAATGAATTTTGCCCCATTCTTGCCACAGTTGCTAAGTGAATCTGGCTTCCCCCTTGACTTTGCTTGTCAGAAGGTCGCAAAAGCTGATCTCATGACCCTGGGAGACTGCAAACGTTATAAATATGAGTCAGTTGCCAAATGTCTGAATTTGATCATGTCACCGTGGGGTTACTATAACAGTTGTAAGTGTGAAAACCGGTCATAAGTCACATTTTTAGTGCCGCTGTAACATTGAACAATCACTAAATGAACTGTTGTAAGTCAAGGACTATTTGTATTTGCTTAGAAGGTTAGTTAGCACAGGGCTTTTCAACCGTTTCACCCATTGTACCACTTTTAGGATATGGCAACATCCGAGTACCACCAGTTGCCTAGCAAGGTGTCAAAAACTGGATGACCAAAAAAAAAAAAAAAGGAAAAAAGTGATGAAGTACAGGTAGTCCTCGACTTACAACAGTTCGCTTAGTGACTGTTCAAAGTTACAATAGCACTGAAAAAAGTGCCCCCCAAGCCACAGCCGAGCAAGACACCTGCCTGCCCGCCCGGCAGCGCTCTTCCTCCTGTCCGAGGTTTTCA